ATAATTTCTCTTAACCTTTCTTGTCCGCTGTCTCTGAACTTCATTCAGTGGCTGTGACCGTATGTAGCAGGGGAAGAGGAGCAAAGTTTAGCGCAGAAGAGAGATGGGGAAATGCAACATGGAGTCGAGTTAATAGCGGCTATTTTGTCCCGCAGAGCGCCAGCTGATAGTGTGGTATCCAGGCGAGAACAGAAGAGGGCTCAATACCAGCAGGTCAAAGCCCACGTCCAGAAGGAGGATGGCAGACTGCAGGCGTACGGCTGGAGCCTCCCTAAGAAGTACAAAGTAAGGAAAGGAGAATATTAATTGTACCAAAGGGATGTTCACACTAGAACAAAGCTTTAAATGCAGTGACTGTTTGTGTGTTTGGCTTTTCAGGCTAACGGTGGTCAGGCAGAGAGCAAGATGAAGAGTCTACCTGTTCCTGTCTTCCTCAGACCGCTAGATGAGAAAGATGCTTCTATGAAGGTTTTAAAGATTTGGTTCACAACAGGAAATATGAACATTTTGAGACTTTTGTCTCGTGTGCTGTAAATTACTAGCTTATTATTCATATGTCTGACTGGTGTATCTGTGTGTCTGTGCTTCAGCTGTGGTGTGCTACCTGTGTGAATCTTTCTGGAGGTAAAACCAGAGATGGAGGTTCAATCGTCGGGGCCAGTGTGTTTTATAGTGACGTGTCAGGACCAGAGAGCCCGAAAAAGAAGATTGGATCTCAGAGCAGTCTGGATAAGCTGGATCAAGAACTCAAGGTACATACGCACACACTTTGATGTGATCTTTGACCTAAAATGCTGGTTTCCAAATTTTTTATTCTTTGATTCTATTAAAGTAACTTTGTTCAAATTAATCTTTATTTGAATTCCGATGCGTCTTGCTGTTGTCTTTTGGAAACTAAAGGTTTGTAATTTATTTTCCGTTTCTGTTTTTGTGGATCCAGGAGCAGCAGAAAGAGCAGCGGCACCAGGAGGAGTTGTCGTCACTCGTGTGGATTTGCACCACCACCAAGTCTACTACTAAAGCTGTCGTCATTGATGCCAACCAGCCTGGGAACATCCTGGAGAGCTTCTTTGTTTGTAACTCTCACATCCTCTGCATCGCAAGCGTGCCAGGTCAGTTAATCAGCGCATCTGTATCCCACAGTTGGAGACATTTTTTCTTTTATTGTCCTTTTTGTGGAGATAACTCAGTTGGCGTTCACTGGCCTGCAGAAAACGCACATCAGTTATAAAGAACAGCACGATTTCTCTATTAATTTTTTTCAGGTGCGAGAGAGACAGACTACCCAGCTGGAGAAGAAGTGCCTCCAAACTCTGAGGTGGGACCGGTGGGAGATGGCAACTCTTCAGCAACCAGTACCAGCTCAACAGGTGGCGATAGCGTGCTGGGAGGCATCACAGTGGTGGGCTGTGAAGCTGAGGGAGTAACAGCTGTTCCTCAGACAGCAGGAAAAGATGGAGAAGCCGGTAAGAGCTATCGGGATCACTGCAAAGGAGTCTTCTTCTGATACATTTGCAAAAATAAAACTACTGTGCTTCTACTAAGAGATAATCTTTTCCCCAGAATCCAGACCAGCGGAAGAAGCCACAGAGGCGACAGAGACCAGTGCAGAATCTGCTGACCAACGAGAAAGCCTGCGGGAAATCTACACTGAGCACGTCTTCACAGATCCACTGGGAGCTCAGCACAAAGTAGAGATGCCAGCCAACTACTCTCAGAGGTAACATCAAGAGGCAAAGTGGTGTTGTGATCCAGTCTTGCTAATAAAAGCTTCACTTTGTTTCAGAGCCATAAACAAACCACAGAGCAGCAACAATAGCTTGCTGTAAACCATTTACTGTATCGTGAGCTGCATGTACTGCAGTGCATCAGAGCTTCAGGTCAGGCTCTGTTCCTGTATCACTCATCAACTGTGTGCCTTTTGAAACGTGATCTATACTGAATTATACTGTCTGATCTGCATGTTCAATGGCTACATATCCAGCATGCACTTTATTCCTTTGTTAATCAGCTAATGTGCAAAGAAGATGTTCAGAAAACTTGGAGAACTATGGCCCCAGACCCTTTGAAATCTGGCTGCTTGTTGAGAGCAAAAGGGAAAGAAATGTGGGACGATTTGAGACTTGCTCAGTCCTGTATCTTAATCCCCAGTGCATCGCAGTGAAGCATTTAATCCATTATTCCTTGAAAAGAAAGTTGGTAAAATCAGTCCAAGATTTTTATTTGTCTCCTTTTGATTGAAGCGGCGTGACTAATCCACTCACTTTTTAAGTTTAAGACTCACAGTGACAGACGACAAACAGGACTCATTCAGAAAACTTTGTCCTTTTGGTGATCAAGCATGACGACGATGTTGCGTTCCCCTGAGGGGTCTAGGCGGTGAGGGGGAGGTAACAAAAAGTGTCCGGGTCAGAAAAAGGAGACAAAAAGGCATAAGGGTTAAATTAAAGAGTTTTATTAAAGTTTCTATTAAAACTAACTAAAAGAGACGGACAAGCTGCTATCACCATTTAAAGAAATAAACAAAACTCAAATGTTAGTCAATAAAGCACAAAGTAAGTCAAAAAGAGTGCAGCTTACTAGCTGAAAACCACAAAAACACTCAGCTCACTAGCTGTAAGCACACTAATGGCACTCTGGCCCAGAGCTCACCTTTCCCTGGGCTTAAATACTTTTAATTACTGACGAGAGTCAGCTGTACAAAAGGGAAAGGTGGCGATAACTGACTTTTTGCTCTTTTGAAGTACAACAAACACACACAATCAGTCCTTCTTGGGTACTCGGGTCCAAACACATAAGATTAAACCGTCCCAGTGCAGATGTCTGATGTAAACACTGTAGTTACTGTGTTCTCTGACGAGCAGGGAGAGCGATCTGCTGAAGGATGGCGTGAGCTTGAACCCCAGCGCAGAGGAGCAGGACCTGATGAGAGAAGAGGCTCAGAAAATGAGCAGTGTTCTTCCCACTATGTGGCTGGGCGCACAGAATGGATAGTGAGAGTTTTTTTTTTCCATTTTTCTTTCACTCAGCACTTTTGTATGTGACTGAATTTAAAAACAGAAAAAAAACCTCTGTCTAAATCAATGCACCTGCTGTGATTCCAGTGTGTACGTGCACTCCTCCGTGGCTCAGTGGAAGAAGTGTCTTCACTCTATAAAGCTGAAGGACTCTGTGCTCGGCATAGTGTAAGTGCATTCAGACAGGTGGCAGCTGGAGTTTATGTCCCTCTTATTTGCTTGTTTAAACATGTAATTCTCCCACATTTCCTCCCACAGACACGTGAAAGGGCGTGTGCTAGTCGGCCTCTCTGATGGCACGTTAGCCATTTTCCACAGAGGTGTAGGTGAGAGTTGAGCTGTTGCCACTTCCTTCTTTAACGTGTGTACACAGTATCCAGGTGTCTAACTTGACTTTATTTTGTAAGATGGACAGTGGGACCTGACAAACTACCATCTGTTAGACTTGGGGAGGCCTCACCACTCCATCCGCTGCATGACAGTAGTGCATGATAAGGTGTGGTGTGGCTTCAGGAACAGGATCTATGTGGTGCAACCTAAAGCCATGAAGATAGAGGTACAGTAACCTCGTGGTAATGATTAGCAATTCTGAAATCTTCCCTTTGCTTCATGTCTGAACTGCTAATGTCTTTGTGCACTGCAGAAATCATTTGATGCCCACCCTCGTAAGGACAGTCAGGTACGTCTGCTGGCCTGGGACGGCGACGGTATCTGGGTGTCCATCAGACTCGACTCCACCCTCAGGCTGTTCCACGCTCACACCTACCAGCACCTCCAGGATGTCGACATCGAGCCCTATGTCAGCAAAATGTTGGGTCAGTTCTACAATCGTCTGTCTTGACAACAGCAGCATGTTTTGAAAATGCAGAGATAAAAGTTTTGTCTGTGTTCCAGGCACGGGCAAACTGGGCTTCTCATTTGTCAGAATCACGGCTCTGATGGTGTCGTGTAACCGTCTGTGGATCGGAACTGGCAATGGCGTTATCATCTCCATCCCTCTGACAGAGGGTGAGTCTGAGCTGGATCTGTTTAGTTCTTTTCTAACCTGTTAGTTGAGACTTTGGTTATGTTTATTTGTTCTGTATGTGTTGCTGCCTTTATGTGTGATCTCTGAATGAGCTGTTGCAGTGTAGTAATGACATTATGTTGCTTAATAGTTGATTCACTCATGCTCTATCATTAGCAGCCAGCAAGGTTACCAAGGCAGCTGGTAACCAAGCAGGAAGTGCAGTCCATGTTTATGGTGACGACAGTGGCGACAAAGTCACAGCAGGGACGTTTGTCCCGTACTGCTCCATGGCTCACGCTCAGCTCTCTTTCCATGGTCACCGTGATGCTGTCAAGTTCTTCACAGCTGTTCCAGGTGAGCAAGCAGAAATCGACTAAACAAACTGCAGAAGCCCAAATCCTCTGCTCTAAACCTCTCACAACCTGAGGGTTTAGTTTAGTTGAACAATGTGATTAATGGTGTCAAATCGTTGTTAAATAGACATGTGATATTACTGCAGTCTTTATTTACTGCAGTTACATTTTCTCCAAAGCTGTTCTTGGTTAGAGGAAAGAGCAGCAG